TTAACAATCATCATGTTTGACATCCATTAGAGATATGATTGACTACGACCGACATGTTTCAATAAATCTGTTRTGTATCGTAAGCTAGATGCTAAGAAATTACTCTTTATTCTAGTCAGAATTAATGGAGGGAAATGATTTGGAAACCTTTTGTTGTACTTCTTTTGTACATCTTTTGTATGTATTTTAAGGCTGAATCAGTCAAGACCGTTTTGGATGGAAAATTGCAGTGAACATAAACATATGAGATAATGAAATCAAATATTTCAATATTGGTAAAAAAATCGTGCATTTTGAAGAAGTAGTCATAGAAAAAGTTTCGCTCTGTTCATACAGATGACCAGTATGGCTAAAACAATAGTTAAACAAAAACGACGATATTGCACTGTCACGATTGGAAAAAAGTGCACAAAAACCTACAACAAAAAGCTTCTTAACCATTTCCCTCTAAAACTATGCTCTAGTAACACTATTTGAAAATGTGATGTTAATATAGTCAGTCCTATTTTTTTTCAGCGTTTCATTGGCAGTTTATTTGTGTATCTATGATTTTGATTGTTTTGCTCGTATTTTAATAAAAGTAAAAGTCACCAATAGGCTCTTGCTTTCGGATGTATCTACTCTTGTGTGATATCTATTGTTTTTTTGTTTTTTTTTTTCGGTAAATGCAGTTTGGAAATTTTTGTTCCATAAAAGTTCTTGTCTGAGATTTTCAAAAGTTAATATGGTACAACAGCAATGTTTTCACTTGAGTTCCTCTGTTGAATAAATGTGATCATTGGTAGTTTAGTGGTTCGTACTTAGGCTGCTGCTCTTTCTTCAGGGGTTCATAGGCTACTTCCGGCTGTAAGCCTAAAGGACTACGAACCGTTGACCGCATACCTTGCAGAYTCTGATAATCACGTGATATTTGCTCAAGTGTGTTAAGTTCCTGGTAGTTACTAGCTGCTGAGAGATCACTTGTGTTAACATACACTTCATCGGAGATCTGGGGAATCTCATATGGATAGCTTATATTATGACTAGTGTCTGACACTGTGGGCTCATCCAAAGGCTCTTCGTAAGCTGTCTCTTCTCCTTTAGTATTATAAGGTAAGCCATGGTCCGAGAGAGGGGGGACTGGGTCCATAGATATGTTGATGACGCCCTTAAAATTCAGATTTTCAAGAAATAAATGTAAGCGTTACTTTTCATAAACAAAAAACAAAACAAAAAACAGACCAACAGATGACTTTTCTTTATAACAGTTGCCTTGCAAAATAACGATAGTCAGCTACAATAATGATTTTATTTTCAAACTTATAATTAAAGTATCAGTGCCATTTAAGATTGCCTGCATGCACTTAATAAACTGACTTTCTCTCGAAGTGATTCTTTGATTTTACATGTTTCGGCATATGATTTGAATTTCCAAACTGGGTCCTGAAAATCCACTTCGGTGTTTATTTCGATGTCATCACCCTCTTCAAATCAGTGAACAATAATAAAAAAAATCATATAAAGCACTATATAAAAAAACGCTCTTGCGCCTTAGAAGTATAAATTTAAAAACAAAGAAAGCGCACAGCCCAATGCTACTTGGTCATTTATTTTCTATTAAAGTATCCCTATCATTTCTAAATCGCTTTAAATCCCACAGAACAACGTGCGTGTTATAAAGTAAAACAATATTATGATCCATAGAATTAGAATACAGCAGTAACCATACAAAACAGCGCTTATATGGTGGAGTATATGATTTGATTTATATTTGTTCTATATGACTGTATACCTTTTGAGATGAATATATTTTCTTTGTGCTTCTACCTAACGAAACATTGATAAAAGACAAGATCATAATCTGACGTTTCTCATATGAAGTTAGAGTAAAACAATCAATGTTAMAAATAGTTCAAAAAGAGTCAACTTGCCTCTACGTAGTTTGATGATAAGTACAATGGTAATCGGGATGCAGATGATTGCAATGATTGACAGCACACTACCAGCAATTAGAAAAGGTTGACCTGAATAACAGGACGAACCCAGGATGATTAGACATTTTTCATTWATTGTCAAAACTAACTTACTTCTTGTGTGATGGCGCTGGCAACAATTATCTGGTGATTTGCGGATGTTTGAAGATCACAACTTAGGAGTTTTAAAATCACACGGTTTTGYATATCTCGGCTATCCAAATTTATACGGCCATATTGATCACATATTGTACTGAATACAAACCTAGTTTAGATCCTCCGMTGTTTTTTGCTATTTTTGTCTTGTAACATATTGCTTCGTTTTCTAGAAAGGAAAACATTAATTTTTTTCGGATAAATCTGATATTTTAAGCATAATGGTCCGAACAAGAAGCAGGCAAGCAAACGGCAATGGAATGCATGAAGGTGCTAATTTTGTATTGTATAATCCATCCATCTCATTGGTTAAAACATTAAAATTTGACATAATTTCAAAAGTAAGCGCATTTTTAAATATTTTATTTAATATCTGATTCCGACTTCATAAAAGCTTTCCTTAGCTTTAATATTAATAGCAATTCTATGTGGGGAACATAGCAAATTAGAAGCATTTTTTGGCTATTGTTTTGAGTGCTTATGATTGGACAAGATCTTTTAATACAAAMGAAACTTTGTTTCAAAACAGAGTTTATTCACATTTTATTTTAAAAATGTGTTACCCATAGGTTGATATATAATCAACGTGAAGACCAAGACATTCGTATGTGGGGAAGTTGCAATTGCCGCAGAACAATAGAAAGTTGYCTGCTTTTTGCGCGCATTGTTACTTAAGCCTTCAAAATTTTACAAACTAAACAAAATCAGCATTACGCTTTGCTACACGTCATAATCATGAGCAGTTTTTGCCATCGTCACACAAGAAAATCACAAGATGATCGATCGAAATGTGTAACTGATGTATATTTCTGATGTTCCATGCCCGGGGGTGGATTAATCCCATATATTTGCTATACGGGCACGTGCCGCTTGTCAGGGTATGTTTTTTGGGCTTGCTATCTTGAACAGGGTATACATTTCACCTGAAATTGTCTTAAACAGGCTGTGACAATTTAGTTAAAAGACCGATATATTTTTTTGTGTCGGAAGCATGAAAATGTGCGTATACACCTAAGCACGACCGCGTTGTTCTTAGATTTATTGATTTAGGAATTTAGTTGACATTAAAAGACAAAAGGCGACCACACTTTCTTTTGCATATTAATATTAATTCCAAAATTGAAAAAATGTTTTMACTGCCATTTATAAATATCATATAATTCATTGCTTTTCTTTGTGTCATCAAAGGTTGATTATTGATGCAACAGTCGTTCTGGCTTGATTGTTAGCTTAGGAAAAACGAGTCCATGAATGACGGAATACCTGATTTAAATCATTTTGGCTCTTTTTTAATAAAGATGTTTTTTAGACTACTGTTAATTGTTATAGCAATTATTATTAATGTTTGTTCCCCAGTCTGTCCGTTTGCTTTGTTTCCCTGGTTCTTTTTCTTTTTACTCTAATTAAGCTTTTGATTATAGTACAACGCTCACCATAGGCTTGAACATTCACTTTGTGCTCGATAAATCCAAGGRTATTCTCAGCGCGGCATATATAATCTTTTTGATTCTTGATGTATATTGACACCTCACTATAACCAGCTAGTGAMGTCACGTTTTCTTTGATTCGCTGTTCATTAGAGTTGTACCAGGTGATGTTTGGAATAGGAAATCCGCCGGCTACACAACGTAACCGTGTGATAACATTGGGGGAAAATGTTACTTCATTGTCTGACTTTGAATGGTCGATTCTTGGTGGATCTGGATTGTATATAAGAGAGGAAATTAGAGACAATAGGAAAATCAAAAAAAAAAAAAAATAGTTATAGAAATAAACAAATCAAAATAGAAGAATATTATTTGTCAKTTTTTTTGCTGTTATTTGCTGTAATTATTTTCGAAAACCACTGTCTCGCTTCCATTCAATGGATCAGCTATATTGCACCTTTCAAGATGCCGCTACTTAAGTTGTAAACGGAATGCTATATAAAATATAATTAAGAAATATAAAACGGCGTGCGCTGATATAAACACGGTGGGAGTTGAAAAATACGAGAGAAGCAAGCCTAGAAATACGAGCGTAGCTTGAGTTTCTCTTGCAGAGTGCTTATATGCTAGGAAAGAGACACAAGCGTCTGTTTTATAGTTCTTTTATATTTGTTTATGCGTTTTTTGGCCGAAAAGCAAGTTTTGCCGTTGCCAGCCAATCAGAGCGCGCGTTTTACTATATCAAAAATTTTATAACATTAAATAAACTTACACATAATGTTTACTGTTGTTTGAGTRGTAACAGGACTTTGGCTTGGATTGTTTACCGCTTGACACTCGTACGTTCCATTCTGATCTCTTTTGATATTCGGAATCATAAGTGTTACATTCCCTACTCCTTCGACGATAGTAGCCTTGGAATCCCCTTGCCTTCGTACCCACGAGACGTTGGGCGTTGGGGGTCCAACCGCTGAACAAGATATTTGCAGACTCCGTCCTTCTTGAATATTCACAACAGACGATGGTCGCCGGTTAAAATGTGGTGGTGCTGTAAAATTAACAAAACAAGGAAAGTRAAATTGAGTAAAATATAAGAGCTATATGTTGACTCCCCTCTTTGCCTAAAGATATACGTTGGAAGGGACTTATTTCAAAATAGCCGCCAAGAATTTCGTATTCATTTTAAGAAAAAATTGAGATGTATGACAGATATATTTGCTATATACTTAGAAGCTGGCTCTTGCTACTGTACCTGTGACAATCAGTGTTGTTGAATTTGTTATTGGAGGTCGATGCCTTAAAGTCAGATTACATCTATAGATTCCACTATCTTCTGTGGTTAAATTGTATATAACAAGGCTGGCAACCGAAGCCTTGATTATTCTAGTAGGATTCTGCAGTCTTTCCGGACAAGTTGAACYAAGTTTCCATTGCCAACCTAGTGTACCATAGTCTGCACCGATTGTTTTCCAGCCATCAATGCTATTRTARAACTCCCAACGAGGTGACTGAGGATCAAAGTTTGAAGTTTTATTGCTGGAGATGTAATCCCATTCGAGAGTAGCGGCTTGTCCCACTGGGACGTACAGTATTCTTGGTGGAACTTTGGAGAAATGCGGGATCACATCTGAAATCAAAAGAAACCCTGTTATCCTTTCGTAATATTCATATGCCYACCATAATATTTCATTCAGTTCAAAACAATAGTCTCGCCCATACCCTTCCCTCCTCACAAAAAATATATTATCCAATATGCATCACTTAGAAGCTGTCTAAAAATCTAGAAAGGTAATTTATATAAGAATATGAGCATGCCCATTTCTGATGCACTACTTGCAGCTATTTTCTCACTGAAACCATTCCGACATGCTCCTACCATATATAGTGCACGTTATATCTCAATGAACTTTCAAAGAGAAAAAAAAACTTAAAAAGTTAGAAATTTGACGTAAGCACGCCCTTGACGGTTCAGCTAATGTTTAGAGTGCACAAGAGTAAATCAGATAAGGAGAAATAACTGAGATAACCAGAAGAGACTCTTATTACTCCAAAGAGAAATAGCAYTCGAAGAATCACAGTCTCAATTTTACCTAAATGCAATAATAATGGAYTTATATTCCTTTTTACATTTATTTTTTTAAAGATAACACATAACTTTTAAATTTCAAAGACAAGTTTCGACTTTCATAAAACCATCTTCAGTTTGAATATGATTACAGTGTAYACAATCAGTTATATAGTAGTCATAGATACTATATTTAAATTACAACAGTCAAAAGTAAAAACAAGAGATGAAATTACATGTGCATTTCTAGGCATACCTACAACTGTTAAACGTACAATCTGAAAATTGTACCATGAAGAACCATGTTCTCGTATACGTACGCCATAGTAGCCTGTGTCATCCGTGGTTAAATTTGATATCTTAAACCAGGCATATCCTAGAGTTAAATTCCCAACAAAACAAATTCGTCCGTTGTAAGGAGAATGCGCTACTGCAGAGTCAATGACAGGTCCTGAATATTTATCAACATAAATTAATCTTTGGATGATTTTGTTTTCACCAGAATTCGCCAAACCCCATCTAACRGCAAGAATACTATGTGATGAGTTCCACTGAAAAACGACATCTTTTCCATCATTTCGCACTAATGAGCCAGGTGACAAGATGGCAGTATGAGCTGTGGGATTTCGCAGAAGAAATATGAAATTCACATAAGTCTATAAGAAAACTAGGCTTCTTCGCAGGCTACTCCATCGGAAACGGACATTTTTCTCTTCTTGGTCTTCCTGTGTTCATAATCCTGACCGAGAAGAACTGGTGTCGAGAGATTAGGAATGCATTAACACAGGAATCCCACAGAGTAGAGTTGCCTGCGAAGGAGTCTATAAGAAAACGTATTTACAATCTGACTTAACAGGACCCTGCTAATTAGTTATCACTATTGGAGTACTCTTTCGTAGAAATATGAAAATATGACATTGTTATCGAAAATCATATTTTTTAAACGTAAAATCAAATACAATTGAATAAAATTTTAACATGAAATGCAGTTTGACTCAACAAAAAAAAAACTTGCAACCTGGGTCAAATCTAGATGTTTGAATTGCTAATTGGTATAATGCATGCACTACTATAATATCACAGAAATATATATACTTAGAAGTAGAAGTAGACAAAAATAGTGTACTATACCAAAAGAACAGCTCAAAGCCACAATTGTGAAAACATGGCGAACATGAAGACCCAAAATAGAGTCGATGAAAGACACCATCATTCACTTGGTCGCCATAAATGGTTAAAAATATCGCTACTAGTAGGATTTCAAGAACAGAAAGAAGGGATCGGAATAGTAAACGGATCAACAGCTCAATGTTTGACTGTCTATTTCCGGCTCCAGCAATTCTTGTAGCAGGTCATGGTGATGACGTACCTAGGTCATCTATATTCAATTATTCAAACTTTTGACGTTTTGTATACAACGTGACCATATTCAGTATGAATTATAACAAGATCAGTGAAGTTTTTATCTTGTACACACAAACATGCAGAAAGTGACTAAATCGTGAAAACTTAGCTAGATGTTCGGATCGTTCACTGCCATCATCAGTAAACATTATGTTCGTACAGGAAATTAACCGAGGTCGAAATTCATCGACTCGCGATTGAAGACTTTGACTGGAAACCAAACCTGTAAGTGTTAAAAACCTGAAATACGCAAAGACAGCGATTTAGAAAGCATTTAAAACAGACAATATACAAGTTATGAGAAAAGTCAAGCCAGTCGCCAGTTATTGAAGTACAGTTAGACTGTTTTCTGCTTGCCTATAGTCAAAGGTTGTTAATTGGACTGTTGATGAACAGACATGCTCCAAAATGTCACCGACGTTTTATTTGCACACACATACAGTTCCATGATGCGCAATGAAGTCAAAATCGTTAATCGAAACCTCTTTACATTTTACATAAACACAGAGAGTGTAGAAAAGAATTGAGGATTACGTATACTCGCCAAGCGTTCATTGAGGATTGGGATGTCATCAGTACCTTTATATTAAATACTAAACTAAAATAGACCAAACAAACAAAATCAAACTGATCATAAATGAAATTATTGAGCTCCAATTATGGCAGTTCAATTATGCGAGGCTGCTTTAAACTGCGCAAAAATTTCAGCTGATCAAATTAAGATGATGTTGACAGTTGTCTTTTCAAGACAAAACAGGCATGACGGCACAACCATGACCTCGATCTGACTAGATTAACAAAACAAAGTTTGATTTCAAAGCATAACAAGCAGAGTGGTTTTCATTAGTAGTATGTTATCCCCAACAAGGTACAGAAGAAGTTAAAAYCTGTAAAATTCGTTGAGAAGAACTGGTGGGAACGAAATTAAAAGTGCGACGTGTCTCCAGCGAACGTTTARCATTCTGTTTACCATCATTGTCCTTGAAAATCTAATAATAAGTCTAATAATATGAAAATCTTAAAATGATTGTCTTCGTTTACATTTTCATATAAAAGTGGTTTCCATTTTTGAATTTATATGCGTTATTGTATCTTTTTGGAGATACAACAAGAAATCATACCTGTTACAATGAGTTCCACTTTACTTATTGGTGAGTTCCATGATCCACTTGATAAAGATAAAAGACACCCATAGATCCCACTATCAGCMATGGTGACATTAGTAATGACCAAAGTAGCATTGGACTCTTTGCTTACTCGTACCGTAGGACTTATAAGTCGAGTTGGGCAGCTTTTGCGATTRATTTTAAATTCCCATCCGGCAAAAACAACATCATAGCCTATTTCTGCTTTGTATTTGCCGTCTGCATCGTATATTCTCCATTGAGGCGATAACGAATCAAACTCCTTCATTCTATCGTCCACGTGGTAATCCCACTCAAACCTGGCAGTTCCACCTTTTACTACATACAATTTGCTGGGAGGARCGTGAGTGAATCGAGAGGCTGCATCTGTGCCCGGAGAAGCAAATATCACTTGATAAAGTGACAGATTCTGAATAGTAATGATCCATCTAATGTTTTACAGCTTGTCATACTAGACATTCACGAGCAAAATGAAAGGATACAACATAAACATTATTAATACTCAGTTTTGTTCCTTCTACGCGTGTTTTAATATTCCGAGCTTTCGGACAACTTGTCCATCATCAGGGCAAAATGAAATTACAATGCGTGCGCGAGGATACAAATGTAAACAAAACACTATGGTAACAAATAGACAAATGTGACAAGTCTGCATTAGCAGACCATGCTAACCACACAGGACATGATATCGCGTGGCAAGAGTCTTCAATCCTCGCCCAAGAACCTAGATGGATACAAAGACGCTGGCTTGAAGCTATAAAGATTTCAAAGAACAAATATAGTGGACGAACTCTGCCTGATTCTTATAAAGAACTCTTGACACATTAACTAGTCTTAACATTCTATCCTTTTATTGTAATCCAATGATTTTTCGTGTAATTCTATGCACGCGCAGTATGTTAATTGATTTGAACTATTGCGCGCTCTTAAGCAGTTATGTTACCATAGTGTTTTGTTTACATTTGTATCCTCGCGCACGCATTGTAATTTCATTTTGCCCTGATGATGGACAAGTTGTCYGAAAGCTCRRAAWATTAAAACACACGTAGAAGGAACAAAACTGAGTATTTATAATGAATCCTACGTACGAAAACATTTTAACATAAACATTATTCTTCATAGCACTCGTATTTCAAATAATAATTGAAAATGACATTTTTAAAAGAATCAGCTTTAAATGATGTAATTTATTTTTGTCAAGAGCATCAAAATTTGAAGCTAGATACTTGTGTGCCAAAAGGGAAATACAGCTGAAACGAATAAGACACCTATACATCAGCTTACCAGCAATAGAAGACGTAGCCAAGATACAGAAGAGAGTTTTCAAACATGATGATAAACTTAATCGCTCCTCCAAAATAAGCATCGTTGATCCCTTTCAGCTTTAATCAACTATAGTCGAAGAACTGTAAGTGATAGACTGAGAAACCAACATGTAGCGAACTATACTAATATTTCTTGTTCTTAATTTGGATCGAATGCCGCAAAATATTAATTTTAAAGAGAAATTAAGCGAAAAGTTGCTATGGCTTAAACCYAAAAACAAAGATCAGAATTGACGACGATAGATGCAAAATATCAATCAACTTTAGAAATTACTGATGAAGATAAATGATGCAAAATCAACAAGTCAGGAACTTAACCATCCTTGCTAGTCATGCGAAAATAAGCTGTAATATGCATGCTAATTTAAATAAGCTATACATATCAAAATATAACCTTCCGGGCCAAGTGGGCCTAAGTAACACAATCCACTGTTGTATAGCACAATAATCAATAAGAAAAGACTTCTGAGGATATTTTTTTTTTGCATTATTCCATTTGTTTTGTTCAGTTGGACATTACCTGATTTATGTTTTTTATCCTTCTTCTTCTATAAATATAAGTGCGCAAAGCCACATTTGCACGAATATGACGACGAGCACGCCCGCTGGTAGATGAAGATTCCAAAAAATATAAAAGACTGAAGGGAGTAATATTTCCGGATATATCTATATGCATTCTTGTGGAATGCAATGAGGTAATAGACAACGCCAAGTTATCTTTTATATTAGCTTTTGATGAAAATATGAAATAACGTTGGGTGTATGTCGCAACATTACAAAGGCAGTTATGACCAGTTATCGAGACGGCAAAATTTACTTGGGAACAACATAACGGAGAGAAAGTTTCTCAGGACAAAACAAATGTTCAAATATATTTAATCATTCGTTCATGTTGTATTGCCTTAAACTKCCCTCCTTAAAATCATATTTGTTTCACGATGAGCGCTAATTTGAAATTAAACAATTCTTATTTTTTATTTTGAATGGCAGTSTTWAGTGCGATTCTCATCTTGATTATGCTTACCTGTAACAATTAAGTGTGCTTCAGTTCTAATATCGTCCTTAAATTGTATTGCCAATGTACATCCATAGATCCCACTGTCATCCATTGTCACATTTGTGATGAMTAAAGTGGCATTCGACTCTCTCCTAACTCGAACTGCAGGCTTTATTAACCGGGGTGGGCAAGTATTGGAAGCAGTTTGAAACTTCCATCCAATATACCTATTGTTAAAACCAATTATTTCACGCTGGATGGTATCTTTGTTATAGCGGTAATACCATAGCGGCGAAAGTAAATTAAACTCTTTCGCCATGTCATCAACATGGTAGTCCCAGACAAGCTTAACAGTTTCTCCTTTTAATACATATAGCCTGCTTGGTGGATTTAGAGTGAAGAAAGCTTTGCAATCTACAAATAAATCGAATCCATACAAAAGACTGTTCGTTTGAATCTGCAGTTGCTTAGGTTCAATTCAGTTTCTAGATACTTACCTGAAATTATTATATAGTGAGCCAAAAGAGCGAGAATAAAATAGATCATYGTAGACAGACGAAAAAACCGGTTCATCAAAACAACCTCCAACCAATGAGGTGCAATTATTCTAAAATGCTTCATTCTGCTTGAAGGGACATTTTCGGTTTGTTTTAGTAGAAGTGGCTAAATCAGAGTTTTTTTAAGGGGTTWAAGACGGAAACTAATKCYACAAGCAAGATGAAATGTGACCTTTCTCTTTTTGTGACACAGAAAGAGAGCATTCCCAGAGCTAACAAAGGCCCTGTGTTTCAATGCTGTATAATATACCTTCTAACAAAGGCCCTGTGTTTCAATGCTGTATAATATACCTTCCATGCACGTAGTGAAATATATACATATTTTTTTTTCACAACAATCATATAGTTATAACAATAAAGCCGTAACAACACTGACATTTATACGGAACTCTTCTTCTCAGGCATTTGATGTTTTAAAGTATAGAATCATAGAATAATAATAATARATAATTAATAGAGAAAACAATTTCATGTTTATCCTATAAAGATCATCATTTATTATTTTGTATATTTACTGGAAATATTATTATCACTATAAGCTTTCCAGAAAGAGTGCTAAAATTGCTTGCTTTCTCTAGCTTGTTTTGTTTTGTTYGGAAACCAAGCTGCATAAACAGCTAGTCTTTATTAGCAGATTTTAAAAGTTTCTTTTGGCTGACTTTTCGCTGAATGGTAAGAGTGCAGTACGAGATTGAATTGCAGTAAGAGAGAATGTAAGAGATACAAACYTGTTACAACCAGTTCCACTTTACTTATTGGCATCGAGCTCAGTGATCCACTTGATAAAAATAAAAGACATCCATAGATCCCACTGTCAGCCATAGTGACATTATTGATAACCAAAGTAGCATTTGCTTCTCTCCTTACTCTTACTGTTGGACTTATCAGTCGAGTTGGGCACCGGTAATATATTCTGAATTTCCATCCCAGAAAAAYATCATCATAACCAATTCTTGCTATGTGTTTGCCGTCTACATCGTACAATACCCACTGTGGCGAAAATGAATCAACTCCCTCATTCTATCGTCCACGTGGTAGTCCCACTCAATCCTGGCAATTCCTCCTCTTGCTACATACAATTTTCCAGGGGGGACGTGAGTAAATCGAGCTGCCGCATCTGTGCTCAGAGAAACATTATTCCCTTGAAATTACGTTCGTTTTACAGATATTGGTATCGTCAAGAATAAAATAATAAGAGTCTAGCTTAATCTGCACACAATGAGTGTTCGTTTACATTGCATTGTATTCCCAGTGATATTCATACATACTGTGTGTACTGATGTACAAGATCAGCAATTTCCATTTCGGCTTGAAAATTAAATAATAATTACTCCGTTTAACTCAAATGTTTTTTTTTTGTTTTGTTTTGTTTTGTTTTTTTGTTTTTTTGAAGAGCTACAATTTCTAAAACTATCGGTATGCCTGTAAGGAAAGAAAGCTGAATCGCATAATAGACAAAAATCGCAATAGCTTACCAAAAACAGAAAGGGAAACCAGGATACAGAAGATRCTTTTCAAACATGAAGTTAAACTTAAGAAATCTCCAGAATTCAGCATTGTCGATCGTTGCCGTCTRAAAAAARCATTAATTTCCTACAGGAAACTCAACGCCAAACAAACGTTTATGACGTGACCTTTCTCTTTGCCTGTCATTATAGAGCATAAAAAGGAGGAATTTATGCAATCTTCATTTACTAAAGCTATAGATAGCGCACATATGCGTCATGTAAAGACTTTGTGATTGATCGATGGAAAGGGGTTGTTGGCAGGTCTGTTCTACTTGTCTCCACTTTCAGAGATGTGTTACACGATAGACAGCCAGTGACKGAAATCTTTCGATGCGATCTATTAGTCTAGGGGTTATTTAATTAGGTTATGTACAACTAGTACTAGTAAACATGTAATATATTTTATAACAAATTTTCATGCAGTTGATAAATTTACATGTGTTATTTTTGGGGAGAGAGGTGAGAATTTGGAACCACTTCAGGAAGAAAAATCATACCTGTTACAATAAGCTCTACTTTACTTATCGGCATGGAACTCAATGATGATCCACTTGATAAAAATAAAAGGCATCCATAGATCCCACTGTCAGCCATGGTGACATTAGTGATGACCAAAGTGGCATTAGGCTCTTTGCTTACTCGTACTTTAGGTCTTAAAAATTGAGTTGGACAGCTTTGTCTATAAATCATAAACTCCCATCCTTCATATTTGTCGTCATAGCCAATATTTGCAATAAAATTTGCATTGTATAGTCTCCATCTTGGTGATTGAGAATCAAACTCTTTAATCTTGTTGTCCACGTGGTAGTCCCACTCAAACTTGGCAGT